TTTTAAAGTTGATATATTAACAAAAGAATGAACGATAAAACAGATAACGTTATTTACACAATAAAAATAAAACTTATGCGAAAGTGCTAGTGGCAAGGCTGACCGTAGAATGTCACAAGTTTCTCAACCGTCTCTTTTTACAAACGTACTAACTATGAGCCTTCGCGTACTACGCTAGCACCCAGTTCTCTGTTCCGTGTCTGCAAAATATTAATTTATGTCAATACCGATGATCACAAATTACATAAAGCAAAAAAGCGCGGTGGGGGGACGAAAGAACGCCTGTGGGCATTTTTAACAAAACTTTTTTCCACTTTGATCGGTTTCTGAATACTTTTCTTTAGAGGAAGAGCTTTCCTTGACACCAATGTCCTGTGATGTAGTGGTGGTTGGAGGAGGTATTTCAGGTATGTATATGGCAGAGACACTCATGCGAAAGAAGAAAGAAGACGACGTGTGTTTGTTTGAAAAAGACTCCAGATTTGGAGGAAGGAACTATGACCACAGATTTAGCCAAGCACCAAACATCAGCATCAGTAAGACATTGTTATTTACTACAAAAATTTCTCTTTTCAGATACAGATCACTATTAACAAAATGTGAAAAAGTTGTTCGCGTTCAGTCTGGACATGAGCTACAAGAGAAGAAGAAGAATGCTATAAACATATAGTGCGCTCGACTCTGGATCTAGCGGTCTGGGTTCGAGCCCTGGTTGGGGACATGTGTCGCATGTGTTCTTGGGCAAGACACTTTACTCTCACAGTGCCTCTCTCTCCACCCATGCAGGTGTATAAATGGGTACCGGCGAATTTAATGCTGGGAGAGTAACCCTGCGATGGACTAGCATCCCATCCAAGCAGGGGGGGAGGAGGGGGGAGGAGAAATATTCCTAGTCGCTTTATGCTACAGAAACCGCGATAAGCTCCGGCCTGATGAGCCACTTGGCCCGTATGCAGACTTTTGGTACAATAATTAGTCAGATGGGATCAGATGGCAAGGTGATACCAATAAAAGTTGAAAAATCAACATCAATTTTTACCGTTGAGGCGAGTGTAAACAACTTTAGATGATGATGACATATCAAATGACTGAAGGGCAAATCCACGAGAAATGGCTTTGACTTCGAAATAACCGAGTTCAAACTATTGGGTCCAGCTGTATTCATTTTACAATTTCTCTTTACTGTCAAAAAAAACAACTTATTATGTATTAACTTATGTCCTGTAATATTTGCTGTTTAAGGTTTAGGAGCTTGGCGAGTAGACAAGAACCACAAGACTGTAATGTAAGATGATATTTTCCATTTAATTCTATTTTTCCGTTTTCTTTTTTTGTCAATTTTTAAAATTTCCCGCAAAATTTGAGTAGGATCACGTCCAAACCGATGGGCTTTACTGAATAGTTTTAGGAATTTTATTGGATCTCTTATGCATGTGTAAAGACGATGAAAAAATGTGGTCGATTTGTTGTTGTTTACAACGAATGACACTGAAAATTTATCGTCTTATAATAGGAGGGAAAATTCCCCGCAAATCCCTCACACTCCCTGTGTCCCTACCAATCTCTTACCCAGACCTCGCCCTGACGTTGAACACCACTTGGCCGTGGAAGATCTGAAAACGAGATTATGAGTAAGATTCTCTCTCTTGGCGGGAAGGGAAAGGTAATCTAGGGGGTGGGGGTGGGACTGGGATTTAAACCGAGCTTCGTCGGTTTAATTTTGACATTTACATTACAGGTTATAACTGAAGCTGTAACAATTACAGTAAAACCCGCCTTTAAGAACCTACGTGTTTTGTTGTAATTTGGGGTAGTTATTGGCAATTTAGGCTGAGCAGTTTCTTGCTGCAGAATACTTGAGTACACTGTTTGAGCATACACGTGAGANACTTGGGTTTGGTATTTATTCTCAACTGTAATATGTATTTTCTTGTAATATAAATTTGCCATCTCAAAGTCACACTCCTTGGTTAAAATGTTCAAAATAATTTAGCTGTATAGTAACCCACATATAAGAACCTACTTGATCTTGCTTGGCTAAACAAATTTAGCAGCACAGATTTGCAGGTTTAAGAACCTGCCAGCAGGTTCTTAAACCGCTAGGTTCTTACACGCGGGTTTTTTACTGTACTACATATGAACTTTTCAATTAACTTTTCCTGACTGCTTTCAGGGACCTCGTCAAACGTTTTAATATCCCGATGTTTGAAATGGATGGCATTAGACTGGCATATGTGGAAACTAGAGGATTCTACGCGTCAAATCTCCAGTCGCTCAAGGAACAAGCTTTTCCGTCTCTCTTATCAGGCGAATTTGCAAACATGACCTCGTCAGAGATGTCTCGGTCTGCTTGGATGAATATGACGAGAGAGAAGGCGCTCGAATTTCCCTCTTATCAAGATTTTATGTGCAAGCGACTCGGAAGTGAAGGGTGTGAATATATGCGGTCCTCGTTTGCGGTCAAAGTGGATTACAACATGGAAGAAAGCACCCTGTTTACATATGAGCATAACCAAGCAAATAAGTATTTTTCGTACGATTATCTTAGACCATTCGGTGGGTTATCAGAAATCACCACCGCGCTGGAAAACTCCGCGAGACGTTTTGGGGTTAAGATGTATTTGAACGAGAAAGTCGAGGCACTAAATAGAAAAGGAAGCTCGTTTGCTGTTCAAACAGAAAAGTTTTCCGTGTCGGCCAAAAAGCTCATTATTGCTGTCCCAAGTTTTCCGTTTGAAAAGATCACCGGAGATGTGGCAACCGAGATTAAAAGTAATTATTTGTTTAAATCTATCCTCGCTCGGCCGTCGTTTAAAGCGGCAGCAGTTTACAGTTACCCTTGGTGGGAAAACGCAACTTCCTCTCAGAACATAACACTGAAGCCATTTGAAATATTTGTGTCAGGATCCAATTGTTTGACTGCTATCATGCCATACAGGTAGGAGTTTGTCTCAAATACCCTGCACAACACACACAGCTGTGTAGATACAAGAACCTCTAGGTCAGGGGTGGCGAATAGTCCTTCAACAACAACAAACATGTGTCTCGCAAAGTGTTCGTCGAATTGCACGGGTACGTCTCGCACAGTCTCGATTTTTGGCGGTGATGTGCGTCTTACAGTCTCGGTTTTTTAACTAGCTAAGGCTGTCTCGGAGTCTCGATATTTTACAAGTCCTGATTTGTTTGTTTGTTTGTTTGTTCTTATTAATGACATGGGAAACTTAGAATCTCAAAGTCTCGTGCTCGCACTTAAAACACTTTAAGGTCTCGGTTTCACAATTTAAAATATCAAAACGTTTCGAGTTTGCAAGAAAAAAAACGCTACTCTCGTTTTCTCGCAAGGTCTCGCATTTACCATTCACCACCCCTTAGATCAGCAGGGGTCTCATAGCCAGTTTATTAGAAGAATACCCTTAGCTTATCAGCTGAAGTGCCGTACAGCCCAAAGCCACATTGTGGAGAAAGGCGCCCCACATGCTGAAACGAGCTGCGGTGTAGTCCAGTCTCCGCTGAACTCTACCTTTCCCGGCCTATACAGAGGCTCAGAAACTGGACCAGCTGAAGTGACGCCAACTCTGCAAGCGGACGTATGGGCGATTCGCTGATCTCACAATTTACACTAAAAACTTTCGGCGGCGAGGTCCATAAACCACAGGCAGCCCAAGCTCTCTCTATGAACCACACAAGCAACACAATGTGCCATCGAATTATAAGGGTTTATATGGGATTTTCTACAAGATATCCATGTAGGCAGTTGAAAGTGAAAATTCTCAATAAAAATGGCTTACCTTATTCCATACGTGTATTGTTTGCTCCTGGTGTGGTTATTGCACCGATTTAACTCGATTTAAGCGATTTTTTGAATTCCGGTTTTCCCTTCATAAAGGGAAAATATTGTGTTGCTTGTGTGGTTCATAGAGAGATCTTGGGCTGCCTGTGCATAGACTTGCTGAAAAATACAACGAGATCAATATTTCCCCAGTGCAGACCGAACAAGCTAATAAAAACCATATATCTGTTTCATGTTCTTCAATTCTTGTAGCGGTAGAGGACCTCATGGAGAAGCCGTCATTCAGTTGTCCTACTCTTTATATGGCTGCTCAGTCAAGTGGGGGAAATTTTCCAAGCTTCCCAAAGAGGTCTTTGAGTCGGAACTAAAAAAAGCTGTGCAGGAAGTGTTTCCAGGGATGGTTGTACCTGAGCCTTTAGATGTGGTATTCAAATATTGGGATAATATATGCTGGTAGGTCATCAAAAGTGGTTTATAAG